CATGTGGGTTCGTGTCGATCCATTAATCCACCTCATTTACATTATAGTGGATCAAAACTGGACCAGTTTTCTCGAAATCGGCTCTTCTATGGGAATGAAATTTTACACGATAATAAAGCAAGAAAGATGGCATTTAGGAATAGAACAAAATCTAATATAGACATATCTGTATTATACAGACTGTGTATGAAATTTATAATAAACCATTTTATATTACTCATACATCTAAAGATAGAGGAACTCATGTCTAAGTTAATAAGTGTTGATGGGTCTACATGTGTGGTATGGTATATGCTTTTATCTCCACTAGAATCAGAGTCGGTAACCAGCCACGATCCGATACAGTATACCTCCAATCTCTCCTAGTACTGCTACGATATTACTTCTTGGTCCATATACACAACATTGGCATCACTACGAAATACAATCATATTAGTGACTTGTGACACAACAACGGATGAAGATACAATATGAAGGACAAGAACATGATAAGAAAAATGAAAACTAAAAATCATTAAAAATCAGTAAAAATCAGTAATTTAGTTAAAAAGTTTATAACATAACACCTGATGACGGCTATATATAGCCGAAACATGTCGTAAATGTTCCACATGTAAATCGAGTACTCGATACGGAACGTAAAATGATATTTTAATCTTTTAATTATCTTATATTGTGATTGACGGCCAATTTTAATATATTTTTAATACTATTCAACTAGAATCAATCAAAATGCGAAGGAGTATGGAACGTGTGTGGAAAATGTATTTAATTTCGGATCAAATCTTGACAGTCGTGTTGAGACCATTCCTTGTAAAATAATATTTGCAGGTTGTTGCATTTATAGATTATATAATGCATCTTGGAGTTCATTCAAAATTGCAACAAACACGTCTATCAATTTTAAGTTTGCTGGAATTTGATGGAACTTGAAGGAAATGTGGTTGGAGTGACATAACATCTTCACTTTATTACCCATCAAATATAATTCGTGACATCGCAAGGAATAGTGAGAGCTCGTTTATTGGATATTACACGACACTGGCTATAAACGAAAACCTTTAATCGATTAAAGATTGTAAGCCACTTCTCCCTTGTTATTGAGTACGAAGGTTACGTACGTATGGGTTATTACGTCACAATTTTATGTCACGTTGAAAACTGTCATTAACTCATATACCTCAATACATAAGATTACAAAAAAAAATATCATTCAGGATGAAGAGAAGAATTGTACGACGCTTTTAAAGAAACTATTTAGTAATAGTAAAGTACAAACGTAGAGAAGGAAACAGTCAAAAGTTTGATACAGATAATAATCTCTCTGAATAGCCAGTTGATTTACCGGAGACTTTCATTTCAAGTCTTTTAATAACACAAATCAGTGAAACAAAGAACCGGACATCGAAGTCACACGGCCTCACAGAAGTCAAATTCACAACTGGTACCAACTTTTGAAAGCCTCCGTAACATTGCAGTGCAAAGCAGAGCTTTGTGAAATTGACGTGCGTGCCACTCCCCCCCCCCCCCCCCCCCCCCTTATTTCTAGACTATTCTGAGTTGTAACGCCATGTGAACTTAAGCTAAATCCAGTCCTGAAGATGGAGACTGTACATTTTTCCGGAATGTTAGTATCTGCCGACAAGTTCACATCTCCATATGTCAGGTTCAATTAGATTAGGTTACATTCTGCATTTGTCGGAATCACAAAAATATATCAAAAAATGCTATATAACATAGTCCTTCTTGAGAAGCTTATAGTCGCTTAGTCGGTAGAAACAGATTCCTCAGAATTTAAAGAACATAGGCTTCATTAGTATCTTTATAAGGGCTTGTTATTCAGATTACACGGTATAACATTAAGACTAGTTAGCGTGTATAATATTTATGCCCATAATTTAAATTAGATGTCAGACGGACAGACATACGAAGTTTCTGAAGACGGAATTCCTTCGTTTTTGTGCTGATCAGTTGGTACGACCGTGGACTGCCTATCCTGATTAGACATTTTCAGTTTCTCCAAATGAATCTGCGGAGAGAAATTCAGGAATATCCTTGTCTGTGGACAGAGAATTGAGTTTAATAGAGACGGCAAAATATTCACTAATTCCTATTGGGTATTTTAAAGATGCAGTCTGTTGCTAAGGGACTGACGAAATTCGACACGATACTAAAGCAAAGTATTTACGAATACAACACAATCGAACATGGACGTATCTATATTATGCAGACTGTGTATATTAAATTTAGATTACACCATTTTACATCGATCATGAATCGAAAGACAAAGGAATAAAAACGAAACTCTTTTGAATACGTTGTATGATCAAGTTTATAATTCGTGAAACTTGAGTTTCCAAATCATATCACCTGAGGCGCTACACTCGCAGTTGTTAAAATGGCGTGTGAGGTAGAAAGAAGCTAAATGTGTATTGTGTCGTTTAACCGTCTTTATCTGAGGTTACGGTGTAAAGAATGTTTCAAAAAGTGTTTGTGTGGGAACCGCCGGCAAGTGATATAAACTGTTTGATCATACAGGCTGCATTTTCAAAGCAAACTTGCTTAACAACACGCGGCCTGAAGCAATACAGGTGTGTTATGTGCGCGGACCTCACGGTGACTTCATCGAACGTCTGTAAAACGTAAGCCAACCATACACAACCTACTCATATTCATTTAGTATCAACTCCTGTGCATTTTAGTTCATGAGCAGTGTTACAGTAAAATGGTGTATATTATTTGTGTATTTCTGTATAAAACCCAATTTGGTATGTTTGTCTGCGCTCGCAGAGACCTGAATTCTCTCATTAATGAAGGCAGATGCCAAAGGAATTTACAATTTCTGCTGTTATGAGTCGCCTTTTAGAAGTAATGAATGTTTAAGGGATGAAGGTAACAAATACATAATTGCGCGTTGATTTTAAACAATTCATTTCCACCAGTGATATACAAATGCATATAGATTATTGACTACTTGTGAGACGTAAAACCATTTAGCTACAAATGTACACAGTGATTCGATTTACGTGAGGTCGTGTGAGGAGATTGGGCACAAATAGGTTAAGAAACTCAATAAGTGGTCAGTGTTTTATAAACGCGTTATTTACGATGTCTGTTGGCCTTGATTTTAATTTAATTCTGATGCCAATATATTATTTAAATTGAAAAAATGAATTAAACCACTGTTATCCTCCTCCTTGAGAACGTAGATAGTCCCTTATTTCGTCAACAAACCCCCTCCCCTCCACCGTGGGAACCGGAGAGTAATGTCCTTGTTCACACGTGCAACACAGAAGGCTCTGAATACACTTGAATTAGGTCTGTGGTAAACTAGTTTCAAGGTTATGACGATTTGTATCGCACTGCAAAGCTGAGTCACGCCCATTTACAACTGTCCCTTCTTGTATAATAACATTTCAAACACAAGTTGTATATCATAATTGATTCTAAGTTGTGTGTATCAATGGTGTAATGTATTTATTTTCCTGATCTCTACAATGCATCACCGGCAAGAAAAATCCCGTAAGATTGGGTATTTTCTGGGTTTTTTTTTTTTGGATATTGTTTTCGCCCCGATGATTGAAACACTTAGCAACTCTTAAACATTGGTTAGGTTCTATCAGAGTACACGGCGGAACAACCCAGAAGTCAGCCATTACAAAGCAAGACAAGTTAAACGATAAACATTTTGTTTAATTTTAACCGTCTAATCACAATAAAATATTTTATTAAATATTAAAATATTACTACAATTAACATTTAATATTTGAAATATATTAAAATGATGCTCTTTCTATCGATATATTTTAAATAATAATATTTAATAAAATATTTTATTGTGATTAGACGGTTAAAATTAAACAATTATAATCATCACAATATGACGCAACATTATCATCTCATGATAAACATTTTGTCATTGGCAAATAAGAATAGAAAAACGTAAATAAATGACGCATGTCTCCAATTCGGATTTACCTGTGTTGGTGATTACAGACCTCCTATCGCCCAGTGTGCGTTGTTATCAGAATATAAGAAACAATTGTATGGGTCCCTCAGATTTACAACGGCATTTGCATATGAATCATGTTGATTGCGTACACAAACCCGTGAAGGTGAGAATATACTCGTACGTGTGTGTGAAGCGTCATATAGAAGTTTTGCTGTAAATTTCTGTATGAGATGCGAGGTCCTCGTGGAGGGTAAAATGTTAACACGATCCGCGACCTTCGAAGTTTTAGTGTCGCAATGAACGACCTTGCATTGATTTCTGAGAGCTAGTGTAAAGGTAACCGTTGGGTTTAAAATTTAGCTGCGCTGAAGTAAAGAAAAATCTGCTTCTTCTGCGCATTTGGTTACAGTCTTGTTATTTCTGTACTCTCACTGTTGTTTTCGTGGTTTTTAAAGTTAAAAGCGTTGTAACGCATTGATTTCAAACAAAGAACATTTACAAAAAAAAAAAAAAAAATCAGCTGTCTTTCCAAGTTTTGTAGGAATGAAGCACTCGCAATATTTATCAGGATAGCTTTCGTTCACTGTGGGGGAAGTTTGAATGACGTACTTGTACGTCCAAGCGATATATTACAAATGATTTTTTGAGTTATTTAACGACGCTATTTTAAGTGGGGAAGTTATAGCCTGTAATATCGAATGACAGCGCTGTTGAAAATGTTGAATTAGTGACGTATTTTGTGTCTGGCTTCGACATTGAACTGGTTATGGTGGTCGATGGAACAAGTTATTTTTTGTAATATAGACTCTGTGTGTCTGTTGTGGTCTTCCGGGTTCAGATACCTTGCTGATTGTTACCGGCGTATCGTTTAGATATTCAGGGCTGAACCCGGGCGAAATATTTATCGGTTTGATTATATTAAATGTCAGGTATTCAGTCTGTAGTTTCTAAGTCGGGCCTACCTTCACTTCTGTAGAGGACGCGTTCACAGGTTGTTTCAAAACGCCTGCGAAAATATTATTGGTATAATAACAAGTCAATTACAATATATATTTATACTTTGTTTTATTGTTTACTCTATACAGTACATCACAGTGTTCTATTTTTTTTTTCAAAAAAGAATTGGTACATGTATGTTACAGTGTAAAGAAAGATGGTGAATTCCTGCATCAGAACTGTACATTTGGACCAACCATTTGATATAAAGATTTGGAATTTTAACAGTTACGCCGATTCGGAATCCATAGCTGCAGATCCATATATAATATTTATTTACATAACCATTTTAATATTCTACGCGGCATGAGAGACAGAGATTTTTTTTGTATTATTCTTTTGAATAAGATGATATGTTTAAGCCTCAGCCTCCATTCAGTAACTAGAGTGTCATTATAAACACTTATTCAGACATTTTTGAAAAAGTAGAATCTTTAATCAAATAACTCTTGTAATTTTGATTTATTATTTGGGTATAATAAAATTATTTCAATATTACATCAACCGAAGTTCATTACGTGTTTTCAATCTACCTGGACCTAATCACTGCTTATTAATTTACGTAAAGTGGACCTTGCTGTGAGAGTTATTTTGAGACAAACAATCCTGATACAGGCCCTACCACTTAAATAACCTAACGAATAAATGGTATACACAGTTTTTGGGAAGTAAATTTCTAATATTTTTTTTTTCGGATTATTGACTAATGTAAAAAGATTTTAAGCATTGGGGTGGGATTTCGATAGCACGCGTCCTGAAAAATTTGTATGACGATGTATCCGTACACTGGATGCTTAATCGATTCAACATATTTTTATGTAGAAATTGAATCATATGTAGGCCAGAGAGAGTTGAAATATATCTAATTTAAGTAGGTCTGTAGAGACGATGACCCACGAAGATAGTACTCTGTTTTAAGTCTAAGAAGAAGCCAAATACTGCCTTCTTAACGATTCAGATATAAATATTTGAACAAGAGTAATTTATTACATTATAATCACGTAATTTTTTTTTAGTTTGGAGACAGTTGTAGTCGATTAAATATGTTATTTTTCTCGAGACGTTGAACGCTAGGATGCTGTGTTTTTGTCGAAATTTCACTGCCCACAAATTTATTTTTTTATCGAATTAAGAAATTATTTTAGAGTGTCAAATGTGTGTTTCCCACACCCATTTAGTTTGCATGTTCAAGAAAATGTAAATTGTAGAGTTCTTATACCTCAAATATCAGATTTATATTACACGTTTTCACAATATTGGTTTGTTAAGTTTGCATGATAGAGTCCAGATTTTTAAAATAGAAGCTTGAACATTTTTTACATAAAAATACTTTTAATTTTACGATCTGCCCCGAGTCGGGTAGCAGAATTGTCTTGGTTGCGTTTGTTTGTTCTTAGTGGTTCTCCTTCTCGTAGCTGCGAGCAAGGAGGAAGGGCGCGTTCCTCTTGACAAAGCTTCCGAAACCCACGCGGTCGATCTCGTCGAAGTTCTTCTTCACGAAGCCGTCGAATCCAGACCGGTCGATCTCGTCGAAGTTCTTTTTAACAAAGCTGTTGAAACCTGAACGATCGATTTCGTCGAAATTTCTCTTCTGATTACCGAAAGTAATTCCTCTGAAACATAAATATTTCATGTCGTGAAAGTCTCGCCTGGCCAATCACTGTAATTTGTATTGCATCTTACATTGAAAATATGTTTTTCATATAGTGTTCTTATAGACCCATATTGCGACAAAATAATCAGCGATATTATGCTCCTGAGAAGTCGAGAAGAATGAGATGGGCTGGGCATGTAGCGCGCATGGATGGGACAAGAGGTGTTCACCAGGTATTGGTTGGGAAACCTGAGGGGAAAAGACCTCTGAGGAGGCCTAGACGTAGATGGGAGGATAATCTCAGGCGGGATCTATGGGAGATAGGAGTTGAAGGAGACTGGATTTTGTTGGCCCAGGACAGGGTCCGGTGGAGGGCTTTGGTTAATTCGGTGATGAACCTTCGGGTTCCGTAAGACATCTGGTTGGTTATGCTCCTGAGGAAGGGATCTGTTGTATTAACTTAGATATGAAAAGGGCTAAAAACCGACAGCAGTAATCATCTAGAAATGTCAGTCTTTATCAACTACATTCGTAAGTTTATCCAGAATTTTCTCATAAGGTTATATCAAAATATACAGGGTGTGCATAAATATCTTTACAACTTTACTCGAGAATAAGACATTTATGTGAAGAAAGAGATACACAGTCTGAGCGTCATCTCCTAGAGAAACGCTTAAAGTTTTACTGAGTTCCCGGTAGGTGGTAGCATCCGTTGTTTACCACTGAACTGAATCCGTCTTTGTAAATCAGGTCAGTCGCCAAGAACCCGCGGAAGAAGGCACAATGTGTGTCGTGGTTTATCGAAACGATCTCGGCTACACAGATTCAAAGACGCCAGCAACAAGACCATCGATACGTGCGTTGTACAAACGGTTTAATGAAACCGGAAGGGTGCAGGGCGGCCAATCAGTCGAGTTATATCGTCGACACGAGCTTCAGCACGTGACTTACAAACGCCGCACGCATTCGACAGCGCATCGGGTGTTTCGAAAACGTTTGTGCCCTTATGCTTACAAATTGTAAGGCGATTAAGCCAGATGATACGGTAGTCCGTAAGGAATTTGCAGTGACCTTGCTCGAGAAAGTGGACAAAGACAAGGAATTCCTGAGGAAAATCAGCGACTGTGACATCCAGCAATTACCTGGATCTTGAATATCGTTTGGACAAATGGCGCCCATGCTGAATGCGTATGGTAATCACAAGAAATTTTGAGAGTTTCTGTAGCAGATGACGTTCGAACAGTGTATCTTTTTCTTAAAGATCATATTCACGAGTAAAGTTTTGCGCACCCTGTAGAATAAATGACTTGTGACCGTCAGTACGAATTCAGGCATAATGGATCAAACTACTGGTTGGATGTTTTGCATTCGTCAGATGACAAGCAAGTGCCAATTTCTTAATGAAATAGTAAAGTAAAGCATTTATTTTGTTTATTTTTTTATGCAGTTTCTGTAATAATTTGTATTTTAATGAAATAACAATTATATTTATTGATATTTGAGTTTTCATTCGAACTACGTGGAGCACAAAATGTTCTCGACGCTTCTGTCTTGTTTCCTGTGGATTGTAAGTCTGAGGAAAACAGGTTTTAACACAGGACACTGTCTTTACATGGATGTTCTAGTGGCATCCTTTCAGTACGTTAATGGCCGGACTCAGCTGCATTGCTGACCCATAAAATAAATTCGCTAGTGACACAGGTGAACTCAATTTAATTTAACAGCGCTCGTCTGAAACCATTACGTGTATGTGTTGTTTGCCAAATACATTTTCAATTTATTTTTCTGACCAATGAAGATGGGGGGGGGGGAATATAATTAAGTCTGGACTGATATCGAATTAAAACAAAGCGTTTTGTTTCGGTAACAAGATTAACATTACAACATACACGTGTATGGAGAGGTCTTGTGGTACGAAATGTGTACTTAGGTTATTATTATAATTAGTGTTCTGTCTGAGGACAGGTCCATATGAACAGGATCCTTCCATCCTTTTCTCGGACTGGGACCTGTTCATATACGTTCTTGGCAGATGATCCAGAAGTGGTTTGCCATTGCCTTCTTCTGGGTGTGAATGGAGTAATTGTTGGGACGCCCCCCCTTTTTTTTTTTGTTCTGTCTGACGACAGGTCCATATGAACCGGATCCTTCCCTCCTTTTCTCGGACTGGGACCTGTTCATATGCGTTCTTGGCAGATGATCCAGAAGTGGTTTGCCATTGCCTTCTTCTGTGTGTGAATGGAGTAATTGTTGGGATGCCACGGAGGAAAACTCCGTGTTGCCTAGACCACGGCGTTGCCCAACACAAGTTATAAATTCGGGCACCGCCGGAAATCGAACCCAGCACACACGACTTCCAGATCATGTCGTGTTAACAAGCAGTTTGTGTTCTTACTTCTAACAAGTAAAACGATAGGCTAGGTTGTAGTTGCATGATGTTTATACCAAGTTTCACGAAAATCCATTGGGATTGTTTCATACACAGGCACGCTGAAGTTCATCTTTCGTTCTGAAACAAGAATAGTGAAACTTGCCTTTAATACAAACCCAAAGAATGGTGTGAGGCAAAGCAGGTTACCTGAGCGAGTCCAGGCGCTTATTCCAGCCGAAAGTAACTCCAGAGAGGGAGTCCAGACCGCTTCTCGTCTTGCGCGGGAAGGGTGCCAGTCCGTCCACCTCCCGACCTGCAACTGTGACGGTCCGGTTACTCGTGAATCTCACAATTGAACGCTGAAGTGAATGCCTGATTCATACATCACCCAGCTCACCCCAGTTAGTGTGACAAAACTCTTTCTGTCCGAACAGCCGTGTAGTTTCGGAGCAGAAGTTCCTGGTGACGAAGGTAAGGAAGGTCTCCGAAACGTCGAGCGTCTGCTCCGAATTTACGCAGCTGATCGCACGAGGATATTATATCAATTTCACGCATTGTAAACGCCATTTTCTTATCTTACTTCGATATGATACATTTTCGAATTTCGAATGCTTTAATAACTGTCCTTACATTTTGTCGTCCATTCTGGCGATACGTAAGCGAGGCGTCTTCAGTTCGAAACAGCTTTATAGCAGCAACGCCACTGATGAATAATGGTTTCATGACGCTGACCGTGGTTCAAGCCTCATAACGCGAGTAACTGATACAACGTCGTAACATAACGTATGTATAAAGCGTTGTCAGCTCAGGACGCATTACCCGTGGATGATTGTGGGTTCAAATTCTGTTCATGGCATGTAATAGTTTTTCTGACGTATAGCACACAATTTCAACCGAGACCATGAAACTAGCTGATCCCCCATGTTTGGAGGAGCCGACTAAATATCTACGTCATTGTAAGGATGTTAATGATGACGAAATGGTAATAATTCAATGCATTTTATTTATTGCATAGTCTGTTGCCAACAGTAGGGAGTCTATGGTAGGCAAACACTGATAAAAATACACAACACTAATAAAATACATTACAAATTACATATATGATTATATTAATACATGAACTAAAGCATATAGACATAATATGCCTAGACT